AGAAGCGGTCTCCGGATACAGCACGTCTTTCCTTAGCTTCGCTTGCCTTTCAAACTGGGAACAGAGCCGTATTATGCAGCAAAAAAAGAGAATCCCAGTCACAGAAGAGCAAAGAAAGGAAAGAGGCGAATACAAAGAACATGCTAAAGCATTATAACTCTGCAGAAAGAACAGGCCAGGACAGCTGCGTCGTAACAAGACGCTATTCACTTATTTGTTGTTGTTGTTTTTTTTGGGTTTGGTGGTGCTTTTGTTGTTTTTGTATTTGTTTTCTCTTTGTGTTTGTAGTAGTCCATCAGCTCGCAGTCGTACGTCACTGTAGACAACAACAGCGTAGCAGGGTGGGTTGTACCTCCCCGCTACCGTTCCTCGCCCTGCGCCCCCTCCTCTCTGCCCCCCCNCCCCCCCCCCCCCCCCCGCACTCCGCCTGTCTCTCCAGCACTGCCTCTTTCAGCAGAGGCACGGTGGCTCCAGAATAGAAAACAAACGTCAAAAAAGCACCGAAAAAAAACATCAAAAAAACTGACTGGCCACCTGCCCGGGAAGCAGCAGCGGAAAGAAGCGGCGCAGCGGTGCACAAAAAAACACACACACACACGTACACATATACATACATACACAGAGAGAGAGAGAGAGCGGCCACGACGTGCAGGAGCGGGCTGTGGGCAACACACGAGTATCTGAAGATGAAGTGCCGCCCGCCCCTTAACGGCGGGNCGGGAAATTAAAAGAAAAAAAAACACACACAGGGCAAAACAAAAGAAAGAAACAGACTGAAAAGAAAGAAGGAAAGCGGAGCACTGACGCACGCCCGCCAAAAAAAAAAGAAAACAACAGCAAAAGCAAACAAATAGGTTTATGTAGTGGTGTGGGTGTTCTCATTTCCTCACTATTTCTCGCGCTGCATACCCCTAACGGACCAGCCCATACCCCAAACTTCCTCTATTTGGCTTCTCTTCTCGTCTGCCCCGGCTGCGTCGCTGCAGCACGGCGCGACGAGGACGGGAGAAAGGGAGGGGGAGCGAACACATATAAGGCAACAGGGGCGGGATGCGTCTCAGACGACGGCACCGAAAAGAGTGCAGAAACCAAAAGCACGGCGAAGCACCACAGTCGAAAACAAGAAAAAAAAGAAATGACGCACAGAAAGTGTTTGTGTGTGTGTGTGTGTTTGTGGGGGGGAGTGGTGGGGAGAAGAGCGGGGGAGCAAAGAGAGGAACGGCGGGGCACTCAACAAGAGCGAGATGGGGAGAAACTAAAGAAAACAGAATAGAAGGGAACACAAAAAAAAAAAAGAAACGAAAAAAAAAAGGAATCAAGAAAGAAAAACAGCCCTGAAGGACAAAGGAAAAGAGAAGGAAGAGGAAAGAACAATTAGGACGCATCTCTGGTGTATGCAATGCGTGTCAGCATATATATATATATATATATATATACTCCTTGCCTCCCCCTTCCGCGATTCAGTGTTTCATTTGGCCGCGTCTGCCGTGTGTGGCGTCGGCTCATGGGGGGAGGCCGCAACCAAAAAAAAAAGAAGCATTGCGGCCAAACGCACGCACATATATGTATATATGTATACGGGCATTTACACCGCCTGTGGTCTTTTTCTTACACTACTCGGCTTTGTTTCATTTCAGTTGCAAAATTTTCTCCTTTTTTGTTTTTCTTTCTTAATTATTGTCCCCCATTCTAATTGTTGCTATTTCCCCCTTTTTCCCCTTTCATTTTCTTTTTTTTTTCACTTTTCATTCCCTGTCCTGCGCGACATTACACAACAAAACATATTTGCCTACGCGGCGCACCGACTGGAGAACGCACAGCGGGATGGTGCGGGCGGGGGCCGCCAATAACGTCGCTGCCGCTGCGCCGCGCCACCATCAGTCACAATGCAGACTCATTACAGCACTTTTTTCTCCCAATTTTTTTTGTTCATTGCTTACTTCTTTTTTTGTTGTTAATTCTCCTCATTCATGCCTTTCCTTGGGTTCTTTTTTCTTTTCTTTTTTTTTTTTAATCCTTCTGCCCCTTTTTTTTCTCCGTTTAAACCATTTTGCCGCGTTTTCATAAATATATATAGATATATAGATATATATATATATATCTTCTTTTTTTTCCCTTTGCCATCTTTTTCATCTGCACTGGTTCTTCCGCCCCCTCATTCCGGTTACTATTCTGTTACCTTGCCGTGCAGCGCACACCACATAACTCCTTCACTACCTTTTTCCCCCTTTTTCCTTCCCCCGCACCCTTCAGGTCATACTGTTCCGCCGCGCGGCTGCCATCGAGAGAGACACGCGCGCTACGCTTCCTCACACCACCTGTTCTCCTCGCGTATCTTCTCCTCCTCCTCCTGCGTGAAGTCACTCTCAATGTTGAAGAGCGCGCGTATCTGCTCCGCCGACTTGCCGCGGATCATGCTGGCGACGCACGCGCACGTGAGGTCAAGCAAATCCTTCACGTTGAGGAAGTTCGCGGCCATGATGACGTCGATGAGAACCTCGTGCTGCTTCTCGTCGCGGTCCTTGACGAGGTGGGTGTAGAGGAAATCGCAGTCCCAGGTCGAGATGAGGCCCTTTATATCCGTCTTGAGTGGCTTGTCGATGGGGTCGGCGCGGTTCTGGTAGTGGTGCTCCATGTACTCGATGACGAGGCGCAGCGTACGACCCGACACGTTTGGGATCGGGATGATCGGCTCCACGTCGCCCTGGTCCTCGAGCATGTCCTTCACGAGCCCCGACATCATCGCCGCCTCGCGGAGGACCTTGAACTCTACCGGGGGGTGGTCATTGCTCTGCAACACGCAGTACTTGGTGAAATCCACGTCGTGCGACGTGATCTCCTCGGGCATCGCTTCCCGCCTTTGTGCGCCAACTCACCTGGCAGTCTGCGCGTGTGTGTTGCTTGTCTTGGGTGGATATTTGCCAAAATGGCTCTGCCACAGCGGAGCCGTTCTGTTCTCTTCAGCACACGCGCAGAAACATGCAAACGAGAATTTTTAAAAAAGAAAAGAGGGAGAAAGGATGTAAGGGACGCGATGAGTCTCGCGCGGTCTGAGCACTGCATAGTTCCGGAGGCCTCTGCCCTTCCTCCTTTCTTTCGACCACCTGTGTGGTGTGTGTGTGCCTCTCTGTTAGTGTGGTTTCCACCCCTGTCGCTGCCGCTCACTTCGTTGCAGCAGCCGCGACGACTCTGTGGGGCCGCAACAGAAGCGCACAGGCACGCCCGCCGCCAAAACAACAACAACAACAATAATAATAATAAACGTTACATGAAGTGTGCCAACGGAACAACAATAACAATAATAATAATAATAACACAAAAAGACAGCTGGGCACCATGGGTGTGTGGAAACAGCAACAGCGCGAAGAGCAGTGGTGCCGCGTCACTCCTCCTGCAGAGATGGAGTGCGGCGGTTATCCGTCGCTGGCCCAAGTACCTCCTTCTGATACGTGCGCAACAACGCCTTGCTCTTGACGCCGATGCACTCCTTGCACTTGTATCCGTTCTTGCGGCGGACCATCTCCCGGTCAAAGCGTCCACATACAACGCAGTAAATCTGCGGCGCATTCGTTTGTGGCTGCACCTGGTGGCTCTTGAGGAGGTCCGTGTCCACCTTCACCGCCTCACTCGCATCCTCGTGCCTCGTGCGGCGCATGATGACGTCCGTGTCGGTGAAATTCATGTCGCGGTTGCGCTCCTCCCGGTCCATGTCCTCGTCGTAGTGCAGCAGGCCGTCGGCGTGCACACCGAAGTCGGAGGTGATGGCGTGGTGCACGAGTTCCTCCACCGTCGGGTCGCGCCCGTACGCCACCACAGCTGCGTCCGCCCCAGCAGGCCCCCCACCATCACCCACGGCGGCGGCAGCGGCAGCAGCGGCAGCAGCAGAGCCATGTTTTTTACCAGCAGCTACTTGTTCCATGTCATCGGCCGCATCGTCTTCGGCGTTCTCCTGGTCAACAAGTTTTCCACGTCGGTAAAAGATGGTGGCAATCGTGTCCTCAATGACGTCGTTGATGCTGAGGGCGGCGTCAATGTTGTTTCGAATATTACGGTTGCTCTCATCCTTCATGTACATCGGCACTGCGGCCATCTCGTCGTCAAGTTTGTGACGTCCAAACGCGGCACGGTGCATCAGCGCAACCGGCAACGTCTCGAAGCACATCAGGAGGTCCTGAATCGCCGAGCCGACATGCTCGCGCTCCTCCTCTGTTTTGCCAGTGTAGAGCAAATCTGCGCTCACCATGAGATTCACCGTGACACTCTGCCAAAAACTAAAGAAGATAATGGTCTTGATACAGAGGAACTTAAGGAACGGTTTTGCGTAGTGCAGCTCCTTCTCAAGCTCCACCTCGAAGAGGACGAGGTAGTACAGCGACATGGTGAGGCTAAAGTTGATGACCACTGACACATACGTGTATGCGTTGTCGAGGGTAAAGGAGCCCTCATTGTAGACGCCCATCGGGTGTAGCACCATCGCGAGGAAAGAGCACATCGGTTTGATGAGCGCGCACTGCAGCACCCAGCGCTTGCAACGCAGGTAGAAGGCGGTGTCGAGCGGGTACGTCGGCAGCCAGCAGACGGGAAACAGGTGTACGCCCTTGTAGCGCTTTGCCTTGAGTGACCGCAGCAGCTGCCCCTCGCCCCCGCAGTACTTCAGCAGCAGAATGAAGAACATGTACAGTACAAAACTCTCGTACGTGTCACGTATCGTCTCGAGGAAAAAGCGCATATTCACAAGTACCAGCGATAGGAGGGAGAACAGGCCATAAATAGGGATCATCACAATGATACGGATCACAACAATCTGCAGTTGCGGGTAGTCAAAGCGGGCGAGGTGCTCACGGGTGTCGGCAAACGAAATGATGCAAGCAATCACGACGAACACGCCAGCAGCGTACGTGACGGTGGGGTTCAGCGTCCACATCATGTCGATGCCTTTAATGGCGCCATCCCCTTCACCCTCCCCGCTGGTGTGCGGCTCCGCACCTGTCATACACGCACTCTTTCTTATTTCCTCTCTCTCTCTTTCAATATATATA